TCTGCAGCCCTGCAGGAACGAGAACATTAGGGTCTAAGTAGCAAGGAGAAGAAATTTTTTTTACAGATTTACTTTTTTTGGGGGTTTTGTTTTTGTCTCTCTATTAGTGGGAGCTTCTCTAAACGAGTTTTCTTAACGAGCTGAGATTTCCCCAGAAAAATAAAGTGTCCAGAAACGGATTACTTCGTTTATCTTAGGGTTGTTAGGATTTTCTTAAGCTTTCTCGAGATTTTAACTCAATTTGAACAAGAGTTATTCATCTTAAATTTTTTTTTAAATTTTTTTTTCTATTCTTGTGAGGAAACTAGGTCTTCACTATATTTTTCTCAACCTCTATTGTTCTATCTGAAAACTGGGACAATTGTCACCGAGCGCAAATGACGACGATAACGGTGGTTTTCGTCCCCCGCGGTGGTGGTGGAAAATATTTTCTTCCCTCGTTTTCCCCGGTGCTTTTTCCGTTCTCTGTGGCAACGAGTTTGCGGAAAATTAAAACGGGATTGTTCTAAGACATCCTCTTCAAAAAACATTCAGGTCAAAACTTGTTCGCTTTTGGTGTTATTTCCTCAACGACCATTTCGACTGTGTTTTCCCTTTCTCTATTCAAGCAAACGGGGGCGCGACTACTTGAAACGGTTTTGGTATGTTCCCATAATATATTGAGTGCACTCCACTTTGCACCCTTAGGTTGGTAAAACCATTAACACCTCCCGCGTACTACACTACCAGTAAAAGGAATCGATCGATTTTGACCTAATTAATCCTTCAGACACTCGAAACTTTTGGGTTAAGTTTATTTTTTATTTCACTCTATGAAATGAAATAAGCTAGTTCAAAGGAATAAAAGGGGGTAATCGATAAAAGATTTGCCTAAGGATTCGGAAAGAAAAAGAGGGACAGCGACGGAGAAAAAGGTAAGATGGAAATGGTGGCGCATAGACCAAGACCCCGAGTCGAGAAATTGAGCGATCATGTGCAAATATTCAAAATTGCCTCTGCGACAAACCGAAAGGAAACGTCTTTCTGTCGAGAACGACGGCGACGAGGACTCGTTTTTGCATCTTTGACGGCTCACAAATGATTCCGAAAGGAGAGTTGTATTTTTTGGACTACTGCACCGGTACGGATTAATGAGCTATCGATTTCTGTTAGAAAAATAGAGGTTACAATATTGTAGCTGTTAGCACAAATAATAAATAGAATGTGATATTGATAGAAAATACCATAAAAATTAGCTATTGACACATTTTTCGTTAAATTCTAGGTCTAGTGTTAGTTCTAGTTTTACACTAGCACTACAAAAAAAACTTTTAGAACGAAAATTGTAGCAAATTTTATATTTCACAATATTGCTCTCTTGTACTTTTGCTCTCAGATGCATAGATATTGAGAAAAATACGAAATTATGAAAATTTGATGAATTTCGTTGCTTTCAAAGCAGTTAATGATAACATTTGGATATCCGAGTATGTTACAAAAAAACTTTTAAAACAAAAGTTGTAGCAAATTTTATACTTAGCAATATTGCTCTTTTGTACTTTTGCTCTCAGATGCATAGATATTGAGAAAAATACGAAATTATGAAAATTTGATGATTTTCGTTGTTTTCAAAGCAGTTAATGATAACATTTCAATATCCGAGTATGTTACAAAAAAACTTTTAAAACAAAAGTTGTAGCAAATTTTATACTTAGCAATATTACTCTCTTATACTTTTACTCTCAGATGCATAGATATTAAGAAAAATACGAAATTATGAAAATTTGATGAATTTCGTTGCTTTCAAAGCAGTTAATGATAACACTTCGATATTGGAGCATGTTACAAAAAAACTTTTAAAACAAAAGTTGTAGCAAATTTTATACTTAGCAATATTGCTCTCTTATACTTTTGCTCTCAGATGCATAGATATTGAGAAAAATACGAAATTATGAAAATTTGATGAATTTCGTTGCTTTCAAAGTAGTTAATGATAACAGTTGGATATCGGAGAATGTTACAAAAAAACTTTTAGAATGAAAGTTGTAGCAAACGTTATATTTAGCAATATTGCTCTCTTGTACTTTGGTCTCAGATGCATAGATATTGAGAAAAATACGAAATTATGAAAATTTTATGATTTTCGTTGTTTTTAAAGCAGTTAATGATAACATTTCAATATCCGAGTATGTTATAAAAAAACTTTTAAAACAGAAGTTGTAGCAAATTTTATACTTAGAAATATTACTCTCTTATACTTTTGCTCATAGATGCACAGATATTGAGAAAAATACGAAATTATGAAAATTTTATGATTTTCGTTGTTTTCAAAGCAGTTAATGATAACATTTCAATATCCGAGTATGTTATAAAAAAACTTTTAAAACAAAAGTTGTAGCAAATTTTATACTTAACAATATTGCTCTCTTGTACTTTTGCTCTCAGATGCATAGATATTGAGAAAAATACGAAATTATGAAAATTTTATGAATTTCGTTGTTTTCAAAGCAGTTAATGATAACATTTCAATATCCGAGTATGTTATAAAAAAACTTTTAAAACAAAAGTTGTAGCAAATTTTATACTTAACAATATTGCTCTCTTGTACTTTTGCTCTCAGATGCATAGATATTGAGAAAAATACGAAATTATGAAAATTTGATGAATTTCGTTGTTTTCAAAGTAGTTAATGATAACATTTGAATATCCGAGTATATTATAAAAAAACTTTTAAAACAAAAGTTGTAGCAAATTTTATACTTAGCAATATTGCTCTCTTGTACTTTTGCTCTCAGATGCATAGATATTGAGAAAAATACGAAATTATGAAAATTTGATGAATTTCGTTGTTTTCAAAGCAGTTAATGATAACACTTGGATATCGGAGCATGTTACAAAAAAACTTTTAAAACAAAAGTTGTAGCAAATTTTATACCTAGCAATATTGCTCTTTTGTACTTTTGCTCTCAGATGCATAGATATTGAGAAAAATACGAAATTATGAAAATTTTATGAATTTCGTTGTTTTCAAAGCAGTTAATGATAACACTTCGATATCGGAGCATGTTACAAAAAAACTTTTAAAACGAAAGTTGTAGCAAATTTTATACTTAGCAATATTGCTCTCTTATACTTTTGCTCTCAGATGCATAGATATTGAGAAAAATACGAAATTATGAAAATTTGATGAATTTCGTTGCTTTCAAAGCAGTTAATGATAACACTTGGATATCGGAGCATGTTACAAAAAAACTTTTAAAACAAAAGTTGTAGCAAATTTTATACTTAGCAATATTGCTCTCTAGTACTTTTGCTCTCAGATGCATAGATATTGAGAAAAATGCTATAATATTTTTCAATATTTCTATTCAATTCATTACGATAAAAACCGTAATAATATTTCGTAGGTAAAATTAACGTTACCAAAACTGGTCGGTAAAGCAGTAAATTGTTTTTGTTATTGAGCAGAGTAGCTTTTTTCAGGATACAAAACCTATTGAATTTATGAACGTGGGCACCATTTGGGAATACAGGAAACACAAAGCAAGTAAATAATAACGCTATTCATGGGGGACGGGGGCGAGTTTGAATTGGTCATCGATTTTTCCACACTGTTTTCGTTGTCGAATTGGGAATTTTACGCGATTACTGCCGTTATGCAATTCGCTTTTCCGGTCAAAAATAGAAGGGCATTTGTAAATAATGCATAAAACTCGCTTTTTGTTTCTGTCTAAAGCACACACTACACATTTATTTATTTAATCCACGTTTCAAATCACAATAATTTCCAACGTATTTTATACAACTTTATTTTTTTTTCGATATTAACCCTTTTAAAAGCTCGTCACCAACGATGACGTCAACAGATATTGCAGCTAAGCGTCATTCCCTCCTTATAAAAAGCTTTCGGATTTCTGTTTTTAAATACACTGTGTTAATTCATTATTGTAAGTATGCAACCAATATCGCAGTATACGTATTGAAATACGCAAATTGCGTTATTGGTTGCATACTCGGGTACGATTATTAATTAATGTGCTGTAGATAACGATATAAACGATCATATAAAATGAAATGAAATGTTGAGGTGATATCACGTTGGAAAAGTTAAGAAACGTTAAAAGATCGCATATTTCACCGGGGATTTGAGCCTGGGAGAAACCGTAAAAAGGTTATTGTTTCCAACTGAGGTTGGGTTGGACGACGAAGACGACGACGACGTTAGGAATCATTTTCGGTACTTTACGGCTTTTGTTAGAACCCCGAAAACCGTCGGTTCCGATCATTTATACGATTCTTACGGACCTAAAACGACGACATTAACTTGCTGATGGTCGTACCCTTAAAACATTTACTTTTCAAGTTCACAAATCTTTAAAATTTGTGTAGCTAGAAGAAAATCGATGTGAAAGGCACCCCCCTCAGTAAAATGAGACATAACACGTGTCAACCACGTTTCTAACAACGCCAGTTTTCCAACTCCCCCTTTCCAAATCTAACACGAAACTTCTCCACCCTTAGATTCGTTTCGATAATCCGTCCCCCTACTTTTACACCCTGAGGGTAAAGATTTCGAACCCACCAAAAGTGATTACTGTACATTATTACGAAACATCGTCACAGTTACTTACTAAACAGGGGTGGTTGAAAATTCGTATTTCTTCGCATAAGATTTTGCCCCATCTCATCAAGTTTCACGACTACGAACTTCAATACCGAACTTCGTTAAAGTAAAGTATATGAAGTGTGACTGTGTTATTAGAGAAGTCATCCAAGTGGATATTGGATGGATATTGAGGGTGATAAAATAGGATAAAAATCGATTAGTAATATCCTTGATTCTTTTAAAAAATCCAAAAATAATTAACCTTTTCATAATCATTTTCTGAATCCGAAAAAAATGCACGTTTTTCATTCACGTTCAATGAAAGTAATTACGTTATAAATCTATTACGGATAGAATCGAATCCGTTATTAAAATAATTTCAATGTCATTAACAATCTCTTAACTCTTACTTTCAAAGCGAGAAAACTACAATACGCAGAAGAAGTTTCATTTTCTTCGCGGTTGGATTACATAAAAAGGAAAATGTTAACAACTCATTTTGTAGCAATCTCGTTTTATTTCTGTGTTCTTCTTCAAGATGGAAATTCGTTGAGATTCGTTGATGAAAAGAATCAGGTGAGTGAATTTAAATTAATTTATAAATGTTTTATTTTTAAGTAAAAATAAAAAACATAAAAATGATGGTGGTGGAAGTTTCAAAACATTTCGATTTAATTTCCCTGTGAATAGTACAGTAATGTGACATTTTAAGATAAATCGCCACCTATTACTGAGTATATTTCTTTAAAATTTGATGGCTTTATATACTGGTCTAAATTTATAACATTTTGAGTTGTTGTGTCATCTAGTTATCTGCAAATATTATTAATGCTTCTGCAAGCTATATCTAATTTTCTACAAGCAATATTTATTCTTCTCTTAGCAATATCTAGTCTTACGTTAGCAGCATTTAGCCTTCCAGAAGCAGTATCAGCAATCAATATAAGCACTTCTATTAGTAATATCTAGGCCCTCATTAGCAATATTAAATCTTCTGCAAACAGTATCTAGTCTTCTGGAAGCAGTTTCTAGTTGTCTACAAGCAATACCTAGTCTTCTATTAGTAATATCCTAGCAGCATTTAGCTTTCCACGAGCACTATTAAATCTTCTGGAAACAGTATCTAGTCTTTTGGAAGCAGTATCTAGTTTTCTGCAAGCAGTATCCAGTCTTCTATTAGCAACACCTACTCCACCATTAACAGCAATTAGTCTTTTACAAGCAAAAAACAAGAAAAATACGAAATTATGAAAATTTGTGTGAATTTCGTTATTTTCAAAGCAGTTAATGATACCACTTAGATATCGGAGCATGTTACGAAAAAACTTTTAGAACAAAAGTTGTAGCAAATTTTATACTCAGCAATATTGCTCTGTTGTACTTTTGCTCTCAGAAGCATAGATATTGAGAAAAATGCGAAATTATGAAAATTTCTTGAATTTTGACGTTTTCAAAGTAGTTCATGGTAACACTTGGATATCGGGGAAGGTTACAAAAAAACTTTTAGAACAAAAGTTATAGCAAATTTTATACTTAGCAATATTGCTCTCTTGTACTTTTGCTCTCAGAAGCATAGATATTGAGAAAAATGTGAAATTATGAAAATTTGTTGAATTTTGTTATTTTCAAAGTAGTTCATGGTAACGCTTGGAGATTGGAGCATGTTACAAAAAAACTTTTACAACATAAGTTGTAGCAAATTTTATTATTAACAATATTGCTCTCTTGCACTTTTGCTCTCAGAAGCATAGATATTGAGAAAAATGCGAAATTATGAACATTTCTTGAATTTTGTTATTTTCAAAATAGTTCATGGTAACACTTGGAGATTGGAGCATGTTACAAAAAAACTTTTACAACATAAGTTGTAGCAAATTTTATTATTAACAATATTGCTCTCTTGTACTTTTGCTCTCAGATGGATAGATATTGAGAAACATACGAAAATATCAAAATTTTATGAATTTTGTCGTTTTCAAAGTAGTTCATGGTAACACTTGGATATCGGAGCATGTTACAAAAAAACTTTTCACACAAAAGTTGTAGTAAATTTTATACTTAGCAATATTGCTCTCTTGTACTTTTGCTCTCAGAAGCATAGATATTGAGAAAAATGCGAAATTATGAAAGTTTGTTGAATTTTGTTATTTTCAAAGTAGTTCATGGTAACACTTGGAGATTGGAGCATGTTAGAAAAAAACTTTTACAACATAAGTTGTAGCAAATTTTATTATTAACAATATTGCTCTCTTGCACTTTTGCTCTCAGATGGATAGATATTGAGAAACAAACGAAAATATCAAAATTTTATGAATTTTGTCGTTTTCAAAGTAGTTCATAGTAACACTTGGATATCGGGGCATGTTACAAAAAAACTTTTAGAACAAAAGTTGTAGCAAATTTTATACTTAGCAATATTGCTCTCTTGTACTTTTGCTCTCTGATGCTTAGATATTGAGACATTGTCGTCTTCTACAAGTAGTAGCTAACTCTCTGTAAATATTATTTATTCTTCTGCAAACTGTATCCAATATTCTTAATAATGGAGTCTTCTGTTAGCAATACCTACTCCACCATTAACAGCAAGTAGTCTTTTATAAGTAGTGTCTAATATTCAAGTTAATACATCAAATAATAAACATTTTAAATATCAATTTCTTTCTTTTTCTATTAGCGTCCTGAACTCCAATTAATTTTAAACGATGGGATCGTTCAAGGAAAGAAAATGTTTACGGAACAACTCGGAGAACCGTATTACGGCTACTTAGGGATTCCTTACGCCAAACCACCTGTTGGGAACTTAAGATTTTCGGTACGACGAAAAAAATAAATAAGATACAATAAAAAAAAAACATAAAATTTTTTTAGAACCCCGTTCAAAATGAGAAATGGTCCGGGGTTCTTCAAGCAACCCACGAGGGAAACACCTGTACACAAGACACCGAAATCATCTTTCATATCGGTTCCGAAGATTGTCTCTACGTTAACGTCTTCACAAAACAAGTACACTATGTTCATTAATTAATTAATTTAATTATTTATCGTACCCGACGTCATCATTGCATCAAGTATGCAACCAAATACGCAAAGCGCGTATTGCAAGACCAGTAGTGTAATATTGGTTGCATACTTGCAATAATTTTTACATTAAATTTAATAATTTCATTTTATTTCAGTCTCCATCAGTAGCAATAAAATCTCTTCAACCCGTAACCGTCTTTATTTACGGCGGAGGTTGGAAATTCGGCCAAAGCAACCAAACCGTTTACGGCCCGGATTACTTGTTAGAACAAGATGTAATCGTGGTAACATTTAATTATCGCGTTGGGGTATTCGGATTTTTAAGCACCGACGATATGTCTTCGCCGGGAAATTACGGGTTAAAAGATCAAATCGAAGTGTTAAAATGGATCCGAAGGAACATCCGAAATTTCGGGGGCGATCCCAATTCCGTAACGATTTTTGGTGAAAGTGCCGGAGCGGCTTCCGTAAGCTATTTGATGTTAGCACCGAAAGCAAAGGGGTTATTCCATCGAGCGATTAGTTTTAGTGGAAGCTCATTGTGTCCGTGGGCTTTAAGCCGAAATCCTTTACAAGTTAAGTTTTTGCTTTAGGTTAAATTTTATTTATATAAAACTTATTTTTAGATAACTTATGCGGTTGCAACAGCTGCCGGAGTAATCGAACCGAGAACGAAAAATTTAGTAAAACGACTTCGCAAACTCGATTACGACTTTTTGCATTTCGCCGAAAGAAGCGCCATGTTACTCGACTCGATAAATCCGATGAACGGATTATCATTCGCGCCAACGATAGAATCTGATCATCCCGACGCGGTGTTAAGTAGAGGGCCTTTGGAGATGTTGAAGGAATCGTCGTTGGGGAGCGTACCTTTTATTACGGGATTTAATTCGTTGGAAGGAGCTGTTTTTCAATATAGTAGGGTTTTGTAGTAAAGGAAATTCGTTTAATGTTTTGGATAGTTTTAGATTTTCTTCGGCCGTTATTTCTAAGTTATGAAATGCCGCAACGATTAATTCCCTCGGATTTAAACATTCCGACGTTTCATCCCGACGAGATTACGGTTGGGAATAAGATTAAAAATTTTTATTTTGGATTGGATCCGTTGGCGGTTGCGAATAAGACGCAAATTTTACACGTAAACAATTTTTTTTTCTAATTAGATTGATGTTTTTAGTAACCCGAATGTTTCCAGTTCTAGATCTAGTGATAGTGCTAGTGTTAGATTACTAGAATCAACTCTAGACCTAAAACTAGGCCAGAGACTCGGCTAAAGCCAGTTCTGGTGACAGTGCTAGGTCTACACTACACTACACTAGAGCTAGAAAGTTTCGTGTTTAGCCGTGCGTCTTCAGACGCAAAGTTTTAGAATAAATGTTGCAGTAAATTTCATTGTTAACAATATTGCTCTTTTGAATTTTTCTGTCAGATACATAGATATCGAGAAAAATACGAAAATATGAAAATTTGACGATTCCTTGTTTTTTTGCACGTTGGTAATGGTAGCACTGGGAAAGCGCAGCACATTACAAAAAAACTTTTAGAACAAAAGTTGTAGCAAATTTGATACTTAGCAATATTGCTCTCTTGTACTTTTGCTCTCAGATGCATAAATATTGAGTAAAATACGGAATTATGAAAATTTGATGAATTTCGTTGTTTTGAAAGTAGTTCATGGTAACACTTGGATATCGGAGCTTGCTACAAAAAAAACGTTTACAACAAAAGTTGTAGCAAATTAAATTATTAACAATATTACTATGTTATACTTTTGCTCTCAGATGAATACATATTGAGAAAAATTCGAAAATATGAAAATTTGTTGAATTTTGTCGTTTTCAAAGTACTTCATGGTAACACTTGGATATCGAAGCATGTTACAAAAAAACTTTTAGACAAAAGTTGTAGCAAATTTTATACTTAGCAATATTGCTCTCTTGGACTTTTGCTCTCAGATACATAGATGTTGAGAAAAATACGAAATTGCGAAAATTTGATGAATTTCGTTGTTTTCCAAGCAGTTAATGATAACACTTGGATATCGGAGCATGTTACAAAAAATCTTTTAAAACAAAAGCTGTAGCAAATTTTATACTTAGCAATATTGCTCTCTTGTATTTTTGCTGTCAGAAGCATAGATGTTGAGAAAAATACGAAATTAAGAAAATTTGAGGAATTTCGCTGTTTTCAAAGCAGTTAGTGGTAACACTTGGATACCGGAGCATGTTACAAAAAAATGTTTAAAACAAAAGTTGTAGCAAATTTTATACTTAGCAATATTGCTCTCTTGGACTTTTGCTCTCAGAAGCATAGATATTGAGAAAAATACGAAAATATGAAAATTTGAGAAATTTCGCTGTTTTCAAAGCAGTTAATGGTAACACTTGGATATCGGAGCATGTTACAAAAAAATGTTTAAAACAAAAATTATAGCAAATTTTATACTTAGCAATATTGCTCTCTTGGACTTTTGTTCTCAGATGCATAGATGTTGAGAAAAGTACGAAATTATGAAAATTTGGTAAATTTTGTTGTTTTCAACGCAGTTAATGGTAACACTTGGATATCGGAGCATGTTACAAAAAAATGTTTAAAACAAAAGTTGTAGCAAATTTTATACTTAGCAATATTGCTGTCTTGGACTTTTGCTCTCAGATGCATAGATGTTGAGAAAAATACGAAATTGCGAAAATTTGATGAATTTCGTTGTTTTCAAAGCAGTTAATGATAACACTTGGATATCGGAGCATGTTACAAAAGAACTTTTAAAACAAAAGTTGTAGCAAATTTTATACTTAGCAATATTGCTGTCTTGGACTTTTGCTCTCAGATGCATAGATGTTGAGAAAAATACGAAATTGCGAAAATTTGATGAATTTCGTTGTTTTCAAAGCAGTTAATGATAACACTTGGATATCGGAGCATGTTACAAAAGAACTTTTAAAACAAAAGTTGTAGCAAATTTTATACTTAGCAATATTGCTGTCTTGGACTTTTGCTCTCAGATGCATAGATGTTGAGAAAAATACGAAATTGCGAAAATTTGATGAATTTCGTTGTTTTCAAAGCAGTTAATGATAACACTTGGATATCGGAGCATGTTACAAAAGAACTTTTAAAACAAAAGTTGTAGCAAATTTTATACTTAGCAATATTGCTCTCTTGGACTTTTGCTCTCAGATGCATAGATGTTGAGAAAAATACGAAATTGCGAAAATTTGATGAATTTCGTTGTTTTCAAAGCAGTTAATGATAACACTTGGATATCGGAGCATGTTACAAAAGAACTTTCAAAACAAAAGTTGTAGCAAATTTTATACTTAGCAATATTGCTCTCTTGGACTTTTGCTCTCAGATGCATAGATGTTGAGAAAAATACGAAATTGCGAAAATTTGATGAATTTCGTTGTTTTCAAAGTAGTTCATGGTACCACTCGTAGCAAATTTTATACTTGCAATCTTGCTAAGTGCACTTTTCCTTTCAGATGTATAGATGTTGAAATATTTAAACTTTAAAAATAAGAAGGTTAATTAGGTAGCCAGGTCAGGCAACACCTTGATAGTGAGGCCTGCTCTTCCCTTGGCTCCTATGTACTACAACAAATAATCTATCTTTTCTGCGAATATTGACATTATGTACATGAGTACGATAGATTTTATTGCTTAAATAAACAGGATTTTTGTCTTTTAAGATTTTGAAATAAGCTATGTAGAGTCATCCTATTATGCATATTCAGACGGTTTGTATCGAACTAAAATTAAATTTTACTTTATTTGAAGTAGTAGAACCACACTCGGCAGCATGACTCTCTCGGCTACTAAGTAAAGCATTTAAATTATGTTAACATATTATATTAAATAATATGTTATCATTGAAAATCTTGGACTACTGTCGCGACTTCTAAGTAATATATGGGTGTTTAACAACACTTTACTTTATTTTAAGTACTAGAGCCACTGCCTCGACAGCACAACTGCCTCGGTTTCTGAACTATTGCCTCAGCAGCTCGGCTACCTGGGTTTCTAATTCTGAACACGCACCGCTAAACCCAAAACTTTCTAGTTCTAGGTCTACTTTTAATTATTATTGAGCGTTGACGTCACGAACGGGCCTTAGAGCTATCAGGTGCATAGCTCCTGATTCCTGCTTCCAGGATGTAGCAGTCATCTTAGATTCTACCGTCCTTGGTATAAATGTAAAGTCACCTGAACGCATTAAAATTTTTTATATAACGAACTTTTGGTTATAACGAATAGTTCCTTCCCCGTTTTATATTGAGGTTTTACCGTATATCTTAAATAAATTAAATCTTTTTTGTTTAAGTTTATCAGCGATAATCAATTTCTTAAAGGAATTATCGAAGAAGCTAAATTAAGAGGTAAAAAAGCCCCCACTTACCTGTATCAATTTTCATATCAAGGCGATTTGGGACATTTCCTCGACAACCAATTGCGCCAAGTAAACGGTAAAATCTGCAAAAAAATCAAAGAAAAGGTTTTAAAAAAACTATTTATTAGGTGTGGCTCATTCCGAAGAGCTTTGGTACGTTTTTAAAAACGAAGATCAACGAGCTTCCCACAAAAACGACATTGCAGTGCGAAAAATGTTCGTTAAAATCTTAGCGAATTTTGTAAAAACTGGGTAAAAAAATGATTTTTTTTTAAATTAAAACGATTTTACTTTTTGATTCTAATTTTTAGTAATCCAACTCCAATTAAGGACCCTGAGCTTCAAAATTTGATTTGGCCGGAAATGTTGGCTGGGAATGGCGACTTAAATTTTTTGGATATCGATAAAAAGTTGTCGGTAAAACAGAATCCGAGAAAATCGGCGATGGAATTTTGGAATGAAATTTATAAAGATTACGGTAGACGGCCTTACACAACTTACTAACGGTGCTAAAATAAAATAATCGAGTTGGGTTCGAGTTGTCTCTCGACATTTTGAGGGTTGGTTAAAAATAAAATGGGCGATGACGTCAACTAAAACGTTTCTTAAATGCGAACGTCACGACTAAGGTCACTCCTTAATGTATAAATAGTTACTATTTAGATCGTTTTAAATATATCTTAAATATCTTCTATTATTATTTATCGTTTTTATTTTTATTTTTTATTTTACGCAAATAAATGTACCACCACTACATCGATTCGTATTAGGTAAGTTTTAAAGAAGAAATTTTTACAAAGTTTTGCGAGGTTCGGTTTCGATCTATCTGTATAAAGGAGGCCCAACAAATAAAATTGAAAACTTCTCTAGGTTGGGGAGCTGGTCGTCTCGTTATGACGAATACGGATGGCTTTTCCTCTTCTTATCCCTTCCTTTCTATTTTTATGGAAGCAAAAAAATCTTAAATAAGGTAAAATAAAGTTTTCTTGGGGAACAAGTCTTGACCGATTCCTTTGGGGAAAAGTTGAGAAAAAACCAAAAACTTGTACTTTTTAATAAAAAGAAAAAAATCGTTTTCCTTTCTTAACATAAGTTTTTTAGTTGTAATTTAAAAGAGATATCTTTTAAGTAACTTTAATCCATTTTGAACGGAATAAATTATTTAAATAATAGGAGTAAATAACCAAAATCTTTCCTGCATTTTAAATAAAATAAACCATGTTAGGAGCAATTAGGTGATGTCAAATAGGGTAGCTCAACAAGATATATTATATCAAGGTCGTTTGAGGCCGAGGAGCTACAATCCATAAGAAATTAATATAAACCTGCAGGATTTTCGAGGAAGCAAAAGTTTATTTTTAAAACTTAATCATGCCTAGATACGTACGTTGTTCAACTCAACTCCTTGGAATAGGAAAAAATTCAAACTGCAAAACCCTACAAATCACAAAACAACTAAGAACTATAGACACCAATATTCAGGAATCAAGGAAACATGGAGAAAATACTTCCAAGCACTCTTGGGGGATACCTCAAGCGACGCAGAAGTATGGATCAACCCAAACCCAACTGGAACCGTAACACCAGACATAATGGTGCCTCCACCAACGAAAGAAGAAGTGCACACACTACGTCACATCACGTGCCAACTAACTGGGCGTGGCACGTAGTGTGTCTAGGAAGTGTCAGAATTAATGGAGAATGAGGTTTAACACGGATATATATCAGCATTATACAACGATGACAGGATCGCAAAAAGAACCCCCAAGGGAAGAATGCAACGAAACCGGAATACGAGCAAACCAAAGTGACGGTTCGAGGAAGTATACAAGAGAGTATGTGAGAATATGCACAACGGAATGTGAATCACAGAACTCAACCACCCTTAGTTGAAGAAGAGAGAGAAGTCCTGCATATAATAAATCTCCAGGATCTGACAGTTTATCATCGGAACTTTTTAAACACATTTTTAGATCGTTGACACAAGTATGACACGAACGCATAGTACTAAATAGATGGAACACGGGGATTACATGCCCAGTATACATGATGTCATCAAGCGATAATATGGTAAGAATACGAATTGAAGAAAAAATTTCGCCACCTAATAGTGAGTGACAAAAACATGAAAACAGAAATCTGTAACCCGGTATAGAGTTAAAGTGACTTTTTGAACTTTTAAAACAATTGTAGCAAAATTTATACTCAGCAATATTGCTCTCTTGTACTTTTGCTCTCAGATGCATAGATATTGAGAAAAATAAGAAATTATGAAAATTTTATGAATTTTGTTGTTTTCAAAGCAGTTAATGATAACACTTGGATATCCGAAAATGTTACAAAAAAACTTTTAGAACAAAAGTTGTAGCAAATTTTATACTTAGCAATATTGCTCTCTTGTACTTTTGCTCTCTGATGCATAGGTGTTGAGAAAAATAAGAAATTATGAAAATTTGATGAATTTCGTTGTTTTCAAAGTAATTCATGGTAACACTGGGATATCGGAGCTTGCCACAAAAAAACTTTTAGAACAAAAGTTGTAGCAAATTTTATACTTAGCAATATTGCTCTCTTGTACTTTTGTTCTCATATACATAGATATTGAGAAAAATACGAAATTATGATAATTTGATGAATTTCGTTGTTTTCAAAGTAGTTCATGGTAACACTCTGATATCGGAGCTTGCCACAAAGAAACTTTTAAAACAAAAGTTGTAGCAAATTTTATACTTAGCAATATTGCTCTCTTCTACTGTTGTCCTCAGATGCATAGATATTGAGAAAAATACGAAATTATGATAATTTGATGAATTTCGTTGTTTTCAAAGTAGTTCATGGTAACTCTGGGATATCGGAGCTTGCCACAAAAAAACTTTTAGAACAAAAGTTGCAGCAAATTTTATACTTAGCAATATTGCTCTCTTCTGCTTTTGCTCTCTGATGCATAGATGTTGAGAAAAATAAGAAATTATGAAAATTTGATGAATTTCGTTGTTTTTGAAGTAGTTCATGGTAACACTAGGATATCGGAGCTTGCCACAAAAAAACTTTTAGAACAAAAGTTGTAGCAAATTTTATACTTAGCAATATTGCTCTCTTCTGCTTTTGCTCTCATATAAATAGATATTGAGAAAAATACGAAATTATGATAATTTCATGAATTTCGTTGGTTTCAAAGTAGTTCATGGTAGTACTCGGATATCGGAGCTTGCCACAAAAAAACTTTTAGAACAAAAGTTGTAGCAAATTTTATACTTAGCAATATTGCTCTCTTCTGCTTTTGCTCTCATATAAATAGATATTGAGAAAAATACGAAATTATGATAATTTCATGAATTTCGTTGGTTTCAAAGTAGTTCATGGTAGTACTCGGATATCGGAGCTTGCCACAAAAAAACTTTTAGAACAAAAGTTGTAGCAAATTTTATGCTTAGCAATATTGCTCTATTGTACTGTTGTCCTCAGATGCATAGATATCGAGAAAAATAAGAAATTATGAAAATTTGATGAATTTCGTTGTTTTTAAAGTAGTTCATGGTAACACTCGGATATCGGAGCTTGCCACAAAAAAACTTTTAAAACAAAAGTTGTAGCAAATTTTATACTTAGCAATATTGCTCTCTTGTGCTTTTGCTCTCAGATGCATAGATATTGAGAAAAATATAATAATATCGAGAAAATAATTCTACGTTCAGCAACGAATATTCCATATTATGTCAGAAAGGCAGACATGGTGGAAGCTATAGAGAAAAAGCCACTGTGCGAATTGATAGAAGAAAGAAAATCCAAGTTGGCAAGAATAGTAAGAAAAATAAATGAAGTCTGGTCCAGAAGAGAGATCGGATATGGAGGCGTATAACAACGTAAGATATTACAAAGATCACGACCCGATTCTACCTTGCTGATTATGGCAGGGTGTCTGTTAGCAGATTCCTAATACCCATAGCTAGCTCAGTGTGCCCATTGAGGTACACTGCAGATAAAGAATCAATGCAAAAAAAATCAGTTTCGCGATATAAAAACTTCCAAAAGTTACCACTGCTAATGTAGTCTTAATATGGATTAATGTAGTATATTAATAATTATTGTAGAAATTACCTACGACCTTACCTGGTTATTCCATTAAAATCTGCGAAATTAATGTGGTTAGAAAATTACTTTTAATCATGTCAATCAAGAATTGATTGATTTTATCAAGACCATAACATTTTAAGATAACACTTCCATTCTCGACACTTATTATTATTAGAGTCCAATAAAACCTTTAAATTAATTTAAACAAAAAAAAAACTCTATTTTCTTTTCTCTCGGAATCTTTGGCACGATTTTAAATTAAAATTTTTCGCGTAACAATAAAAACGTCGTCGCCTCGCTATCGGAATTTTCCGCCTATTTTTCGTTATTAATTAAAAAATAAAGAAACAAAATTTTCACCTGTTTCGTCGAAAATCAAATTACGAATATTTCCTAATCTATTTTCCATCTAAAACGGGCGTGGTTCAATTTCAACGTAACTTCCGAAGTTACTCTAATATCAATCTCACATAAAAATCGAAATTGTTTAGGTAACGTTATAAACATGCTTTTTTATCGTAATGGAAACGTTAAATTTATTGAAAAATGATTCGATATAGGTCGAGGGAATCGCAATTTAGTCCAATTTTACGACGCATTTCAATTTTAAAATTTAATTTCACATTTCCAATCCAATATAATAAAATTGGAATTTATAACGATTTTTTTTATTAATAATTTAATCTGGTTTAATTATATTAAATTAACTGTTTAATTCGTATTTCGTTGTTGTAGATTTATGAATTTAATTCAACTTTGATTTATGGCGTAAATATCTACAAATTAAGGTGCTTCATGAAACGGCATTTTAATTTTAATGTTTGCAAATTTAATTAATATTTTTGTGTATAATATAACTTTAAGCGTTCTCTTCGTACGATATTGTTTGATTTTTGGTGAAACTTTGCTTCAACATAATCAAATTAAAGTCTTGTTTCAAACTAAGTTATACTTGATTATTAACTTTTCCAAATTGTAATTTAAATCTTAACCTTTCAGTACACGCGTAATGTATAAGAGTCACACCAGGGGAACTCTAAGTTCATAATTGCCAATAGAAACGATCAAAACACGAAACTTTCTAGTTCTAGGTTTATTTTAATAAAAATATACAACAATCTAGCGCTGAAAAAGGAACTAGTACTAGAATCATTCGGGCTTATCCGTCTTAAGAGACGAACGGCTAATCCAGAACATTTCTAGTTCTAGGTCTCGTGTTAGTTCTAATTTTAGTTGTTGTGCAGCGCTAAATTGTTCTATATTTTTATTGAATTAAAAGTTAGTTCTACTAATGCTAGACCTAAAACTATAGTTCATTTTTTTTCTATAATACCTGTCAAATTGTTGTAAAGTTGGCAAAATTAACAGGGAGTTTTGTTTTATCATGTTTTGAAGTAAATATGTCACATTGACGTTTGAGCTTTCGTTATTCAAAAAGAAAAGGTGCTATTAATTACTTTGTAGCACGTTTTTACAACAAATATGTACTTCGTGAAAATCGTATTTACTTAAAAATGTATTTTATTAGTATTTTAACCTCAACTAAATAGTTACTGAAAATGTTACTAAAAACCATGAAAACAACATAAATTTTATAAGGGTCCTAGATAATACCAACAGAAACCCTAAATAATTTACATTGACAAGTATTCTAGAAAAAAAACGAACTATAGAAACATGTTTTACATGTTTTGTATATTATACAACATTTTACAAATATTAATATTTATTAAAACTTTTATTATTGTCTGTCAATATTGTCATTTGAAACAGCTAGCCAATAATAGATGGCGCTAATGCGAAATTAGAATTTATTAAATTTTAAATTTAATTTTTTTATGTGTTAAGTAATAGATTTTGTCCACGACTACCTTATAATATACAGGGTGTCTCAGCGAGACCGGTCATTAGACGTTTCTGGGGTTCTAGCGAAAATAAAAATTTGAAAATTCAGACTTAAGTATTATCAATTACGATCTCTTCGTCTAAAATATTTTCAGTTTTCTTGCACTTCCGGTTATACCGGAAGTCGCCACCAACTTTATTTTTTTAAATGGAACATCCTGTATATTTTTACATATTTAGATTTGTCTGTTGTCAAGGTTTATAAATAACTTTACTTTTTGCAATTTGATTCGGTCGTTCTCGAGTTATTCGAATTTTTTTGTTTAACACGTGATTAATTCGTCCAAAATGCAAAAAATTTGCTTCTATTCCTCTAAATTTACCTTTTGTCATTGGAGATAAATGTGTATAATTTTCATTAAACATTTTGCAAGTTCTACTAAGAACTTTGTCGCACTTTTCGTGCACAAAAAATAAATTATGGATTTCTTCATTTGTATAAACATTATTTACGTTATTAATATCCATTTTAACTGGTTTTAGACTCACAAGCATCAAACAACCTAAATTAGACTTTGACGTTTATCAATAAGTCATTAAACATTTGTTTTCCATGGCACACTAGGTTAATATCCATATGATATGTGAGCATTTTTCAAAAAACCCTAATTATTTCTCAAACTATTAATGTTAGGCATAGGACATATGGAATATAAAAGATGTAAAATGAGACGCCGAAGACGACTAAGTAATAAAATATGGGGGGTGCCATTTAAAAAAATGAAGTTATGGTGCTTCCAAATTTCGAAAAGTTAACGTATCATAGTAAAGTGACCAAACGATCTAGACAGCCGTTCTCGGCACCAAAACATACTCCATCATGTTGTTTAAGCATGTTCTGAATCCTAAATTGATATCTCAAAAATTGAGTGTTCTATGATTTTTTGAACAAATGTCCGCTGGAGCAAATTTTTCTAGAAAAATTCGAATAACTCGAGAATTGCTGGTTCAAATTGCAAAAAGTAAAGTTATTTATAAACCTTCAAAACAGACAAATCCAAATATGTAAAAATATACAGGGTGTTCCATTTAAAAAAATAAAGTAGGTGGCGACTTCCGGTATAACCGGAAATGCTAGAAATCTGAAAATATTTTAGATGAAGAGAACGTAATTAATAATACTTAAGTCTGCATTCTCAAATTTTTTCTTTGGCCAGAACCCCAGAAACGTCTAATGATCGGTCTCGCTGAGACACCCTGTATATACCTTATGAATGAGTTTTCTAAAACAAAATGGTAGTCATTTTTCACATGACTACCTGAAAAATTTGTTAAAATTTGTCACAAAAACAAAAATATAATAAAAAAAAATAAAAAATTAAGGTTGGTATTAATTTTTAAAAATTAAATTGCTAACGTCGGTTTTAATATTTTTTATTCTAACTTTTTTGTTTTTTGAGATAAATGCATCATATTTGATCTCATTTTAAGGTTTTTTTTTAATAAAAAATACGTGAAAGAACGCAATGAAGTAGTCCATTTGTCTATTATATGATAACTAACTTCAGGTTTAAAATGTCAACCTCAATTTTGACATATTTGTAATCTCCATTAAAAATCCTTTAAAATGAGTACAAACACGACATATTTATCTTCAACATTAATGAAGTTATGGTCAAGTTCCGATTAAGAATGTCAACGTCAATTTTGACATATTTGTAATCGTCGAAAAAAATCCTTTAAAATAAGTCCAAACATGATACGTTTAATTCCAATGTTACTCGAGATATAAGCAACTTCCGATTTGAAATGTCAATGTCATTTGATATATTCTTAATTTTTATAAAATGTGTTAAAATTTGTCACAAAAACAAGAAATAATAAAAAAAATTAAAAATTAAGGTTGGTATTAAAATTTAAAAATTAAACTGCTATCTTCATTGTTGCTAACTTCGGGTTTAACGTTTTTTATTCTAACTTTTTTGTTTTTTGAGATAAGTGCGTCATCTTTGGACTCATTTTAAAGGTTTTTTAATGAAGATGGTAAATATGTCAAAATTGACGTTGACGTTTCAAACCGGAAGTGATTGTATCTCCATTAATATTAAATTTAAATGTCGAGTTTGGACTCATTTTAAAGGATTTTTTATGAAATTGACAAATATGTCAAAATTAATAGTTGAAAGTTCGAACTTTTTGGTTTTTTGAGATAAATGCGTCATGTTTGGACTCATTTTAAAGGTTATTTCATGAAGATTACGAATATAATAATAAAATTAAAGTTAAATCAACCCCAAATTGATTAAATTAAAACAAAAACAGACTTTTGTTCCTTCCTTCTACAGTTTCTAAATTTATGTTAATTTTATTATTTTTTTTTATTTCCAGTTTTAAGTAATGCTTTGACTATTCTCTTTGTCTATTATATGATAACTAACTTCAGATTTAAAATGTCAACCTCAATTTTGACATATTTGTAATCTTCATTAAGAATCCTTTAAAATGAGTACAAACACGACATATTTATCTTCAATATTAATGAAGGTATGGTCAACTTCCGGTTAGAAATGTCAACGTCAATTTTGACATATTTGTAATCGTCGTGAAAAGTCCTTTAAAATGAGTCCAAACATGATACGTTTAATTCCAATATTAATCGAGATATAAGCAACTTCCGGTTTGAAATGTCAATGTCATTTGATATATTCTTAATTTTTATAAAATGTGTTAAAATTTGTCACAAAAACAAAAATATAATAAAAAAAATTAAAAATTAAGGTTGGTATTAAAATTTAATAATTAAACTGCTATCTTCATTGTTGCTAACTTCGGGTTTAATTTTCGTAAAGAAAACGACGTTTTATAAAACTGACACTTAATTTTGACAAATTGTTGTGAAGTTGGTTACAGTTGGTAACATTGAATTTGTGTCACATTGACGTTTAACCTTTATTCAAAAATTTATTTAAAAAATAAATTTATGGAATAGTCGTGGACAAAGTATAGTATTCTACTCGTATATAATGAGCTATTATATGCTCATATAATAATATACTATTATTAAACATAAAAAACCATTTAATAATAATTTAATATTTAAAATCCACCATCTTCTTCATTTTGGTGTACAAACAACAATTTTTTAACATTTTTTTTTCTTTATTCAAAATCAACTCAAATATTAACTCTCAAACAAAATAATGTTTTTTTTTTTGATTTTCGCCTCATCAACTATTTCAAAACAAAGTATTTTTTATAATTAACTCTTAAGAAAAAAATGTAAACATTTTTAATATTTTCGATCACCCCCTCGATAATAATAATCATTCGATGATTTTCTATTTCCTTGATAATAACTGGGAGTCGAACTTTGAACTTGATAAACATTTCCGGTGGTAACGGGGAATGAGGAGACGCTATGTCGATTAACATTTCTTTGTTCTTGTCCTCTCCAAGCGTTATTGTTAGCGGAATTATTTCCACAATTATATCCACTTTCCCAATGATAATTTTTTTCTTTTTCTTTGTAACGATGATCTTTTTGGTATCGTTCATAATCGTAAGAGAATCGACTTTCTAAGGTGCTTTCTTTCGAAATTTCTTTCCAATTTCTTTCTTTATCGCCAACATTAGTTTTTTGGTGATAATTTTCGGATAAAACGGGGGGTGGTGGGACTAAAATCGAATCGACTTTTTTATAATTTTCATCGTAACTTTTCGAGGAAGTATCTTTCTTCCAATATTTTTCATCGATTTTAGTTAATTTTGGTTTTCTTTCGTATGTGGTTGTTTCGGTTTTGCGCTTTTTATATTCTAAATTTTTAATGTCTCGTTCTAAATCTTGTTTTTGACGTTGAATTATCGAACGTTCCGTAACGGCCAAACGTTTTTGTAAGCGAAGTAAATTTATTTTTTCTTCTTCGATTAAACGCCTCTCGTGTTCTAATTTTCTTTTTTCACGTTCGATTTTCATTTCTTGCGCTTTTCTCTCTTCGTATTTTATACGTTCTTTGCGACGTTCCTCGCGAATTCTTTCGGCTTCGCGATTTTTTCGACGTTGTTCTTCGTCGGAACGTTTTTTGTGTAATGTTGTTTCTTTTTCGTTTTTGTAATCTTTTACTTTTAATGTTAGGGGATCGTTTTTGATGGATGATGTTGATTTTCTTCTTGAGTCGATTTTTCTTTCGGTGCTTTTTGATTTTTGTTCTGGTTTTTTTTCGCTTAAATGTATTGTAATCCCATCAAAGTTAGTTCCTTGCAATTTTTCAATACAATTTTCCACATCTTCTTTTCTCTCCATCAATAAATAACCGTAATAATTTTTTCCATCGGTTACAATTCGGGCTGTTTGAACTTTTCCGTGGGGAGTAAAATGAACTTTTAAATCATTAGCTTTCGTGTAACGATTTATATTAGAAACCCACAAAAATCGATTTTCCTTATTATCTTTATTCTCTTTATCATCACCTTTATTTTTTTCGCATTTAACGACGGTGCTTTTAACTGTAACTTCGGGTTGTTGATTCAACTCTTGTTTAATCCCGTTATCATCAGCATTTTCTTTAGAATCACCTTGACTTTCCACATTTTCCTCTAACTTTTCTTGATCTTTATCTTTATTAACACTCTCTATTTTGCTTTTAACTTTCTTCGGGGTGATTTTAATCGATTTTTTCTTCTTTTCAAAGTTTTTCTTCTCATTTTGTTCTTGGTGATTAATCTTTTCCTCCTCTTTCAACATTTTGCTCATCTCCAACTCCTTTTTGCGCGCCTTCTCCTTCTCGAAATAAACGTCCAAATTATCGCCCTCGTCCAATTGGAGACACAACACATCAGGAGTTTCGTTTTTCTTCTTAACATCTGAAAAAAAATTGAAACCAAAAACAAAAAACTATGACTAAGTTAATAACCTGGTTCTTCTTCCTCTTTATTTTGACTCTGTTGTTCGGGAATCGCCGAAGAAGAAATTTCCTTCTCCCCAATTAACTCATCTTCCTCCTTAACTTTACCAGCACCATCTTCTTCGACTCCTTCTTTATCATCCTCAACCCCATTAATATCCACTTCGTTTTTAGCACCCTCATTCTCGGTCATAACCTTTTCAACACTCTCAACTCCATCCGACATGGTCGTCGTTGAAGTTGCAACTTCCATGATCCTGTTAAGAGATTCCTTTCTTCATAAAACATATTAAGCAATATTTTAGTTCCTCTCAAATGTAAACACTTAAAATTTCTCTTTGTGTGTAAGCAAACGTTTACGTTTAATATAGATTCGGTTTGGTTTTAGCGACCGAAGTAAAGCTTTGTGAAACCTAAACACAATGGACGGACTAATTGGGGGGACGAGAACGCGAACGAAGTGCCCCCTTGGGGACTCGAAACCCGCGCGAACCGTCCGTCCATCCATTCCAACAGCGATCGTTTCGCGTAGTCGATTCCCCCGCGATTTATTAATAAAATTTGCCCATCACGAAAGCTCTTGGGAGCTCGTTACATTCACCCCACGATGATTTATTGACTGAAATCAATAAAATATGAGAAAAACCGGTTGCGGCGTTAAAAATCAAAGTTTCACAACTTCCGGTGAGTTTGGTTGTATTTAAATTGCAGCAGGAATTCGGAGAGTTTCAGATTGAACCCGGTCCGGTTCGGAAATCACCTGCTGTTGTCCGATACCGATTTGTTTTATTGCAGTGTAGGGGTTTCGAATTGTTTTTCAACTCACCCTTCTCGAAAAACAAACAAATCCGGGAATTCTAAAGGACGAGGGAGCAAAACTCCAACCAACCGCAAACTTGTACTAGCACGTTCGCAATACAAAACCTCTCTCTATTCTACCTGGAAAGTTTTATTTTTAAATTCGATTCGATTCGAAAATCATCCACCAAATGCTTAACGATTACTAGCAATTCCAATTTTAATCGATAATAAAAAAAACTTTTCACCATATATCTTTTCCAATAACTTCTTCGTCCTCGTTCTTGTTTTTCCGGGATTCTAGCCGTTACAAATTAGGTCGTAAATTGCTCAAGCTCGCCGAACTGCAACAGATTTCGTAGGGGGCTACATAAATCTGCGCGCAAACTGAAAGCTGAGAACTGAAAGCTTCGGCCGTGTGTATGTATAACATGACATTAACGCCAAATCCCTTTCTCTATGCACCAAAACCCACCCAACCTCGCGGTTTATTCTATTCTATTCTCCAACCTTTACGCACGTTCGTCCGTTAAAACACAATGTTCTAGATTCTAGACCACCATATATTTTGATTAATTTCAATGTTTTGTAGCAAAATGTAATAAGGTATAATAAAAATAAATCTAACAGTTAAAGAAAAAACTATTAAGAAAGTATCACTCGACTAAGCGACATTTTATCAAAAATCTTGGTAAAAACTATTTACTCACCGAGTTATACCTAAAAAGAACCGAATCGCGAAGAATAAACATAGTAAAACACTTAATAATTAGATAATTAAGTAAAACTTGACAAGAAACCGTTTCTGTCAAAAAAATCGAAATGACATGGAGGGCTACCAACCTAAATTTTATCAAATTTAAAAATAACTAATTTTTAGAGAAATATTATAAATGAAATTATTAATTTATAATTTAAATTGTTATTAAACTAAAAAATTGTAGTGATAATTACATTACTAAAACCAAAAATCTCGATAATTTCTTTTAATCTCACCTTAAAATTAATTAAAGCAAAGATTATTTTAGAAAAGAATTTCAAGTCGATAAAAACTATTTACTCGCCGAGTTATAACTAAAAAGAACCGATTCGTGAAGAATAAACATAATAAAACACTTAATAATTAGATAATTAATAATAAATTAATTAAAACTTGACAAGAAAACCGTTTGTTAAAAAACTCGAAATGACATGGAGGGCTACCAACCTAATTTTAACAAATTTAAAAATAACTAATTTTTAAAGAAATTTTATTAATGAAATTATTAATTTATAATTAATTTTAACAGCCTAATTATGCATTCCAAATGGTTTTCTTATATAAAAAATGACATTTTAAAGATTAAATTTACAATTTTCTTACAATTTGACATTCCAAATGATATGTCAACCTCAATTTTTGCTACCAATTGACGTTCTAACTGTCAAATTTGATGATTTTGCATCACACGAATATTTTAATATCAAAAGTGACATTTGAATGACATCTTAAAGATTAAATTAAGAATTTTTTTACAGCTTGACATTCTAAATGACACGCCAACATAAACATTTATATCTCGAGTAATATTGGAATTAAACGTAACATGTTTGGACTTATTTTAAAGGATTTTTTTCGACGATTACAAATATGTCAAAATTGACGTTGACATTCTAAACCGGAAGTTGACCATAACTTCATTAATATTGAAGATAAATATGTCGTGTTTGTACTCATTTTAAAGGATTTTTAATGAAGATTACAAATATGTCAAAATTGAGGTTGACATTTTAAACCTGAAGTTAGTTATCATATAATAGACAAATGGACAACTTCATGGTGTTCTTTCATGATGTATTCTTTATTAAAAAAACCTTTAAAATGAGTCCAAACATGACGCACTTATCTCAAAAAACAAAAAAGTTAGAATAAAAAACATTAAACCCGAAGTTAGCAACAATGAAGATAGCAATTTAATTTTTAAATATTAATACCAACCTTAATTTTTTATTTTTTTTTATTATATTTTTGTTTTTGTGACAAATATTAAGACATTTTATAAAAATTAAGAATATGTCAAAATGACATTGACATTTCAAACCGGAAGTTGCTTATATCTCGAGTAATATTGGAATTAAACGTATCATGTTTGGACTCATTTTAAAGGATTTTTCACGACGATTACAAATATGTCAAAATTGACGTTGACATTCTTAACCGGAAGTTGACCATAACTTCATTAATATTGAAGATAAATATGTCGTGTTTGTACTCATTTTAAAGGATTTTTAATGAAGATTACAAATATGTCAAAATTGAGGTTGACATTTCTAACCGGAAGTTGACCATAACTTTATTAATATTGAAGATAAATATGTCGTGTTTGTACTCATTTTAAAGGATTTTTAATGAAGATTACAAATATGTCAAAATTGAGATTGACATTTTAAACTTGAAGTTAGTTATCATATAATAGAAGTTTTATAACTGAAATTAATCTAGTGTTAGTCACTTTTCCGCACTTTCTTACAGAAACATCCTGTATAATCTTATATTTTTAGAGAGATGAAAACGAAAATACCGTTTTTCTCAAGATTATTGATTTGTCGCTTAGTCAAGTGATGCATAACGTGGTCCAATTATTTATTAATATTTGATTACATTTCCATAGAATTTGTAAGTTTTTAGGAGTTATAACTTAAGTTGCAACTGATATTCTAAGTGTTTCCAACATTTATACATATTTAATAAATGAGTTCTAACCATTTGCGGAATTTTCAAGTATTTTAGACCACCAACGTTTATTTTTGGAATATCCATAAAAAATACTAACACATTTTTAAGTATTTAAGGAATGTCCAAGCATTTTAGGAAAATTTGAAAGTTTTCAAGCAAAGAAGGAAGCATTTGAGAGAATTTTCAAGGAATTTAGATGATTTTGAAGGTTTATAAGGATTTTTGCAACTTCTCATTTTCAATGACTCTCGGAGCAGTATTTAATAAATGAGTATAAAGTTTATTGAAGATGGATCTCAATTTTTAAGAATCCTTCTATGCTAATCGGTTTAGTATTTAGTCCTAGAAATGTATTAACGAATTTTATGTCAATATGATTGTTCCTGAAGAGTGTATCTTAGGTAGAAATCGGTCGAGCTAACAAAATTAAGTAGCCAAAATGTTGTATTTCTATTTAATTGATTAAACATACCCTTGAACATATGCAGATTATGAAAGTGTGTACTTTTTATAGCTTACAATCTTAATTTCTGAAAATTAAATGGTTTTTGTGGATTCCCGAAAGACAAAGTGTGTTGTGGATATTCAAGAAGTTCCAAAAGCCAATTAAGGTTGTAATCCACACTTAATAAATGGCATACTTCGACGTATTTATAAGCATATTGCGAATTAAACCTTTAAATTATTGTTTGTTGATTTCGATTAGATTTTAACAAAATCTTTCCACCCTAATTCTAATTCCAAGACGACATTTCACGGTTTAAATGATATTACACATTTAGTTTTCGGGTGGCGGTTTCCCAAGTGGTTGTAGTAACCGGGCAAGGGAAACGAGAGAGAGAGAGAGATTTCACCCTCTTTTTAGGCAGGGGGTTGGGAATAGGGTCGGGTTCTATGGCTGCGTCGGAGGCGGTTTTTCGACCACCACACCGAATATAGCCGGGGTACTTTCCGAGGCCCCATTTCGACCATATATCACCTTGCCAACCGCAGCCGTTCAGCGCAGCTAATTATACCGGCAGAGGTCCCTCTCTAGAGAGAACGAAAACTGGAAATCCACCCCTTTTCGTACCCAAAAACCACCTTTTCCTTTTTTGTTTTTTAACTCCCACAAAATTTGTATATAAAATAGGTTATAAAAGTTATTATTACCAATTTTAATGTTTTTAACTTCGTATAATCCCGTTTGAATGAGGAGAATTATAAATTGAAGTGTGGAAATGAAAAATTTAAAAACGCGTTTAGTAAATTTGATGTGGTAAAAAAAACGGGGTTGGAAGAGTAACGAATAACATGTGAGGGTTGAAAACGTTGACGCAGTTGCCTCCCCAAACTGAATTTGCATAAAATAACGTTTTCAACGTTTCGTACAGGATGGATTCCCATTTTTTTCTTTGTTATCAAAAGCCGTATTTCGCTTGAATATCAAATAAATTTGCGAAAAAGATTTGTTAAATTTAAAAAATTACGTAATCATTGCGAGTATGCAACCAATATCACAGTATGCGTATTGTAATACGCGATTTGCGATATTGGTTGCATACTCGGGTATGATGATTAATTAATACACTGTAGTTGAAGGTAATCCCGGAAGTAAGAAAAGATAAAACTGAAAAGAGAAGAATCCGGAAAGGAAGGAAGGAAAAGAGGCAGTCTATTACATTTGGTACGCGAATTGGCCCCTTTTACTCGCTTTTTTTAGATTTTTCTTACTTTTATAACAAAAGGGGCGCGTTTCCAACGGAAGAAAATATTTGCTTACCCGACCGAATTCGCCCCGCGGCTGTTGTCCTCCGAATCTCGCGCTAGAACCGGAGCAAACAACCTCGGCACCAACGACCGTAAGAAAACAACCCCCCGAGCTTTCGACGATAAAGAAACCGATAACCGGAAAAATATATCATAAAGTTTTCAGTTTAAAAAAAAAATTACAACAACAGTTTTTAAAATAAAAGTGGAATTCTTGTGATGTAGTTGAAAAGTTTTACCACCCCTGTAAAACTGTTGCTGGTGTTCAAAAGGGCTAAGGGTTTTAGTCACCGGCTCAGAACTAAACACATCCATTAGTGCAGGGATTAATTGAGTAACCGGGGGCGGTCGAGGAGGCTTTTCTTCGGCGACAACCCAACCTAACGGTGGGGGTTGGATAAAAAAGGGGGTGGACAAAACCCCCTTTTTATTTCATTCACACACGGAAACTCTATCTTTTTAGAACTCGAACACAAAAAAATATTTACAAAAAAATAACGACCCCTCCCCTTTCATAAAAAAAGTTGTTTTAGACAAATTTTTTCCAACCCCCTCTTACAAAGTTTTAAATGTATTGAGTTGGGGTAGATTTCAATTGAGATACAACGCTACGTTCGGCTTTATCGGTAGACATTTACAAATTTGAGTCCCAAAACTAAATCAACCATGCCCTTAGAATTCATAGAAAGATATTTAAACTTTTTGTTGTTCTTTGGTCCGCCGCTACCATCTGATTAAGCCAACCGTGAGATTGTAGCCACATTTACAACTGTTTAAATGTTATCATAACTGTGTTTATCTACGAGATAAATTTAACGAGAGATATTGGTAGTAATAGGATTTATTTAGATAAAACAAATAATTGGATTGATTTAGGATTGAATCTTATTGATTCAGTGTAGTTTTATGCTTTAATATAAGATTTAGAACGTAAATCATGAAGATATCAAGAAAAGAAGTCAGAAACAAAGAAAAATTACTCAGATTCCAAAAAAAAATCATAAAAAGACCATAACTAATGAAGAAAAAAGAGCGACAAGACGCAATAAAAAACAGAATAAAGCCTTTGAGGTAGGCTTGATTGAAGATTAAGAGATATAATGAAAGAAAAT